TTGACCTTGAAGGAGACTCATAGCATGGATCAGTGGAATGGAATCCCACAATTAGGCTATTTCAGAACCAGAACATCCAGAATGGACTCAAGGCTGAAGAAAAAAAAGGAATCTGTCTGCTTGAAGAAAAACAACAATCGAAGCTTATCTGAATCTGAGCCAATTGCCTCAGAATGAGCCAACTATTAAATTTCTCCTGGGTCATGGTTAACCAAGGACAAAAGCTTCATTTATCGAGGGTACGTGGGAGTTTGCCCAACCAGTCTACATGTGCTTTGTGGACTTGGAGAAGGCATTCGACCTCGCCCCTTGGGGAGCACTGTGGGGGGGGGGGGGGGGGTACTCCGGGAGTATGGGGTACCAGGCCCTTTGATATGGGCTGTTAGGTCCCTGTACAACCGGTGTCAGAGCTTGGTCCGTATTGCTGGCAGTAAGTCAGGCTCGTTCCCAGTGAGAGTTGGGCCTCCGCCAAGGTTGTCTTTTATCACCGATTCTATTCATAACTTTTATGGACAGAATTTCTAGGCGCAGCCAAGGTGTTGAGGGGATCCGTTTTGGTGGCCTTAGGATCGCTTCTCTGTTTTTTGCAGATGATATGGTCCTATTGGCTTCATCAAGTCGTGATCTACAGCTTTCGCTGGAGTTGTTCGCAGCCAAGTGTGACACGGCCAGAAAAGGGTAGAGTGCCCTCTCCGGGTTGGGGAGGAGGTCCAGCCCCGGGTGGAGGAGTTTAAGTATCTTGGGGTCTTGTTCACGAATGAGGAAAAAATGGGAGCGTGAGCTCGATAGGTGAATAGGTGCAGCGTCGGCAGTGAAGCGGGTGCTGTACAGGTCTGTTGTGGTGAAGAGAGAGCTGAGTCAAAAGGCAAAGCTCTCAGTTTACCGGTCGATCTACGTTCCTACCCTCATCTATGGTCATGAGCTTTGGGTTGTGACTGAAAGAACGAGATCACGGATACAGGCGGCCGAAATGAGTTTTCTCCACAGGGTGTCTGGGCTCTCCCTTAGAGATAGGGTGAGAAGCTCGGTCATCCGGGACGGACTCAGAGTAGAGCCGCTGCTTTTCCACATTGAGAGGAGCCAGTTGAGGTGGCTCGGGCATCTGTTTAGGATGCCTCCTGGACGCCTCCCTGGTGAGGTGTTCCGGGCACGTCCCTCCGGGAGGAGACCCAGTGGAAGACCCAGGACAGGCTGGAGGGACTAAGTTTCTCGGCTGGCCTGGGAACGCCTTGGGATTCCCCTGGAGGAGCTGGCCGAAGTGGCTGGATAGAGGGAAGTCTGGGCCTCCCTATTTAAGCTGCTACCCCCGCGACCCGATCCCGGATAAGCGGAAGAAAATGGAAGGATGAATTATTTTTTCATTTGAAACTGAAACAGGTTAAGAAAAACAAAGAAACAGTAAATCCATAAAGTTTTCACATCATTTTGAGTTTTTTTTTCTTAAATCTCTTTCACTTTCAGCACTGCTCATTCAGTCTCGTGCGCAGGTCATACGTGCACGCTCGTGGCTTGTTCAGTCGCACGCATCATACAGTCGTGCACGCGGGTCTTTATGTCTGTCTTTTGGCCAGTTTGGCCAGTCATAAAGGAGCGTGTGAGCGAGCTGGTGCGTCGCACGTGCTGTGACTGGAACATCCACTCCAGAGACTGGGTCCACCGGGCTAAGGGCAACGTCTCCTCTCGTCATATTTTTAATAAATAATCAAAATAAAAATAGGCGATGACTTTGGACTTTTAAGGGTGGCGATTTGAGTTGCTGGATCCGAGCAAAAAGTTGCCAGAACACAGTCTGTCAAAATAAGAGAGTTCTCGGATCTTGTTGCGGCAGGATCCAGCTCAAATTAACCCCTGATTACACAGATATACAGGAAGTACACACAGATATACAGGAAGTACACACA